TGTCCCTGCCCATGGCAGGGGGGTTGGAACTGGATGGTCTTTAAGGCCCCTTCCAACCCTAACCATTCTATGATTTTATCTCTGTATAAAACCAATCTAAGAACAAAACTTGATCTCAGAGATGATCTCAAATTAACCTTTCACACTGTTTTTGCAAATGTATTATTCATCTTTATAACTGTGTCCAGTTCAAGTGCCTAACCCGTGTGTGAAAAGGGTCAGCACATACACAACTGACCAAGAGCACAAGTATGACCGCTCCTCTACGTACACAGCTGTAAGCATTTTTGCTTACCCCGTTTTGAACAAGAGGCTTAAATCACAGAACGGTTTGGGTTGGAAGGGACCCTAAAGATCATCTAGTTCCAACCCCCCTGCCGTGGGCAGGGACACCTTGCACTAGACCAGGTTGCAATGTCCAACAAGTCTATGCTTCCCCAACAGATAACCGAAGCCATGAATTCTCAACAGTCCAACAACTATTTGGGACAGAACCCCAGCAAATGCACAAAGGATTGAACACTGTATAGTTCTTATAAAATACTACCCACTGCTAACAATATTGGACACTTAATTTTAAATGCACCTCCTGCTACCACCCTATTCTTGCTAGGAAACCTCCAAGACATGAAAGGAATCAAGAGACTCCTGCCATGACAAGTACACCATTTCAAACATACCTGTCAGAAACAGGACGACATCGACGTCCTCTACGTCCCGTACGCGAGTCGGAATGAAATGCTCACACACTTTGCCATGTTAACAAGGGGGGGTGATTTCCACCCCCCTCCCCCCCCCATGCCTCTTCTTGACATAGCTGTGATGATCCTAATCTCCGTCTCGGTACTTCATCATATTATAAAAGTCCTGCAACTTCACTCATATTGATAAAAGTAGCTCAAAATAGTCCTTTCCTTCCAGTGATTAGTCCTGAGCTGCCAACGTGAAAGCAGGCACATACGTCGAACATATTGCAAAGAAGAACATTCCTACCAGCAGTGTGACAGGACCATCTCTTTGGCTCTATGTGCCAGCATTACTTTCAAACACAGTGTGTTTTTTCCTCATGCATCACTATTAAATGTGGAGGTTAGACACCTCTGATGGTTTCTGCCCGCCGAAAGGAGAGCGGAAGGCTCCTGCCAACCATCACTTGCAGGGAAACAAATCTCGATGTAGAACCAGCTTCTATGTAGACTTTAGTGGGGGAGGACACGTGGTGGAACTGCTACGCCTGTGTCATCTTTTCTATAATTTCCAAGGATCAGCAGAGGCATGCTACGCTAATCTGAAAAAGGGTGTTAATGGCAGTTTTCAGCCAGCGTTCAAGAGTTCATAAGTAAGTGTAAGGACTACCTTGCAAATCAGCCTGAACAGCAGCACTAATGTAAGCAACGTGCCTTAATAGTACCACCTACCCCCTTAAAGAGAGGGCTTAGTATCAGTCTTTCTCAAGGTGCTTTACAGCGGAGAAGCAGATGCCATTTTACAGATGGAAAACCTGTGGTGCAGAGGGAGAGCAGCATCCCTAAGGACATTCGTCATCAGGTGTGCGGCAAAGTGAAGACGTGGCAAAGCCAAGACTTGGCGCAGCGCTCGATTCACACCATCACACTACTTTCCGCTGTCTTTCTTAATTAAAAGACAACAAAGCCCAGAGTCACAGAACCGTTTTTCCATGCAATCTCCATGCTGTACCACTTGTCACTATGGTTATACACAGCAGAGCCAAGCATCTCTATCTGACATTCTTTGGAATGGCGCAGGGGCTGAGTGACTGACGTTCAAATAGACTTCTGGGCTCCCCTTTATCTTTGTGCATCAGATCAGTCCAGCTCAGTGTGAGCAAAAGGTCTCTTCCCACAGCCAAGGATCCAAATGGGAAAAAATTGTCAGAAACTAACAGATAAATGTAAGAAACATAAATCCGTATTTATATTTGGCTCCATATTTACATCTAGTTCTCAAAGACACGTTCAACAACGTATTTTGAGGATGCGAGAGGGAGAAGATGAAGCGAATGAGCACTGACCACATCTTTCTGCATATACTGAATGCCATTTACAGATTTCTACAACCAAACAGGAATAATACGTATGGAAAAGTAATAGAGGAAAACGACTATTTTCTGCTCTTTTAGAGAAATAACTAATTCTGAAAGGGTTGGGGTGGGGAGGAGGGAGAGGGCATGTAATTAAGTATCAGATGGATGTGAGGACTGTGATTTAACAAAGCCAGGCAGAGGCATTTGAAAAGAAAAAGCCATCTTTTACAAACACAGTGACATCAGTAATCCCCCACTGTGGATGTCACTATGCTAACAAGTGCTTTTTTGGCAGCTTAGCTTGTGCTGTTAAGGAAAGAAACTACACTAGGAGGTAAAAAAAAAAAAAAAATTAAAATCTTTTCTTAGTAGATGCTGCATCACTCTGAAGAAACAAAGGCTCTCGCACACAGCTGATTGAAAGGATAGACAAATTATGGTCTTAAACGTGGAAGATCAGCGAAATCAGCATTTAAGGTGAAAATGCTAGATCAGTGTGTTGGTGGATATTAGCACCTACAAACACAAGCGAGCAATCAGTACTCAGATACAACATGGAACAACTGAGATGCTTTGCTAATGCAGAGAGGTTGTTGGAGATCGTATTTTGAGTCATAAGCTTTAATAGTTCCTCACCAACGAAAGTATTTGTGTTTAATTATTTTGATAGGTCTCTCACTACATTATTAAACTTGAATTTACTATCTAGGTGAAATTATAACAGAAGTCTTTAGAAAGGAGTAATTACAGTTACGTCAGTAAGACCAAATAATGTCTGTTCTTCCCTGCAGTTATACATCAGAAGGGAGTTTTTCTGCTGTGACTGCAGATCAGTTCTAGAAGAAACTGTTACATTTTTTATTTTCTCACCTCAGTATCTCATTTCTGTATTATGTGGCCAACTATATGTGGAAAGTAAGTATATTTTATGGAAAACTGGGCTAAACTCCCACAACTTAATGTTTTAAACATTCCTTTAATCTTTTTTTCTCTCCAAGGAACTCACATCCTCAGAAAAACAAATACATAGATTGTGCTCTGAAATTATTTAAAGCTGAAACATTCGATTTAGCAGACTGTTGGGTTTGGATTTCCAGAGTATTATAAGCAGTGAAGTACCTTGACTTCTAGATTTAAAGCAATATACTGTAAAAACTCTGACTTATCATCGGACGGTTTATGTTAACAAGCACTTAAGAGTGGCTCAACATCAGCTTGCTTAAATATTTAAGGAAGTAAGTACTTCAGACTCCAGCTATTGTGTTGTACGTATCCTGTCTGTTAGAAAACTGTATTCAGTACACTGTTAGAACCTCTAGAGAAAACAGAATCGAGAAACAAATGCACTGGCTGAAGTTGACTGAACCAAAATCATTTTTGCTTAAGAGCTATGTGCATGCCAAACTTTAGGTTACTTAGAGATGAGGTAATACAATACTTAATACTTAACAGATTTTTACAGGGAAGAAACAGTATTTCTTCTGGATAAGATCATATCCTGTGACATGGCCCATTTTAAGAACTGGTTTGATAGCCAAAAGACGGATTCTTTAGAAAACAGATGTCTGAAGGATTTTCTTCCTTACCACTGCCAACAGACATGAAAGTCTTTGAGGCTTCATTGGTCTTGAAATGTATTTTTCCTCAAGTAATTATTTCAAGACTACTAACAAACTTTTCAAAGAGGTCACATCTACTTCTGTTTTGTTCTAAGGTTTCTTGCCTGCATTAAAACAACAAGATGACATTACAAAAGTCACTTTTCTTGTTGCCTTGCTGACACTTGTTCTGGCTTTTGGCAAGCCTGTTCTGTTTACGATATCCAGGCAGAAAACTACTGATTTTGCTGCTGCGAACTTTTCTACTCATTTAGTGTGCCACACTGATTCACCAAGGAGTAAGATAAGCACCCAAAGCAATGCAGGGGAGATTACAGGAGGATGTATAGATGGATGAAATAAACTTAGCAGTATTGGGAAACCCCACCATTTGCCTATACACTGCCAAATCCCTGCAACAGGCACTGCAGCTGAAAGAAGGGAGTAGGAATGCATGGCCAGGCATTGTGGGGCTGGAACACCCTTCACGGCAGCAGACTGCACATCTACCTTGTTAGAACAGCCACGGCACTGCAGCCCAGGAAGTACAAACGCCCTGCAAAGCTGTGCCGGGCACTAGCGTGAGCTCACTACAAATCTGGCGAGGCTCCGAGGCAGCAAACATGACTGTAGAGCTGTATCAGTGAACTACACAAAAAACGTGGATATTGACATTTAGATAAGAAGCGATCCACAATGGTGAAAGAGATGTCACCAGTAGTATCGTAACGGCTGTCTATATAATTAGGTATACCAGATATCTTCGACGGAGCATTGACTAGCCATCAACTACAGCTGTGAATCTGAGATTTAGGACAACTTTAATACAAAGACTACCACCAGCTGGCCTGCTGTTGCTGTTCAGTCAGGAGGGTGGGGGAAGTCAAACATGTCTGCACATAGTACTTGCCACTGCACTTCTTTTGATGTCACTGGATGAAGGAACTAGACAATTTTTGTCCTCTAGCCCTTTACTTGAGGCATCCATATTCAGAACAGAAATTATTTTTGCTACTTCAAAATTTTATCCAACATTTTTAAATTAGTAAGGGTTCTTCACTATGAGGAGAAATTACTTCAGCCAATTTACATTCTACTTTAAGGTATGCCTTTCCATGGGAAAAAAAAAATCAAAGTAAACATGAAGAAGAAATACTCTTTGCCACTGTTTTGAAAATCCACATTACCTTTTCACGGGCTCTGTCTGCACAAGTGCTGCATCTGTCATGGCTTTCATCCACAACTCCATTTCCTTCCCTGTATCTGTGCAGAAATAATAGGTCCTCATGTTTGGATGAGCTGCCTGATTGGAAATGACATGGTCATTGCAATAAAAATGTAAGATTCTGTAAAAGAAAAGAAGCAAATGATGTTACTGTATACTCACTATAATGTTTTCTGTAATAGGATTTCTGCAAATAATATTATCAGAAAAAATATTGGAAGGAATACTTCAGTGTTTCTCCATTACCACATTCATATTTTCAAAATAATTGCCTATAGTTTTCATAGCTGCTTCTTCATTAATATACTCAAAATCTCTTGAATTTCTTCAATTTGTTAAAAACTATTTTGACTATCCATTAATATAAATTAATATAATTATCAGAAGTAGGTTTTTGGCATAGGTTTTTGCAGTCTGAATGATACAAGAAGTTTTAATTTGTACTTACCATAGTAAATAAATGATGTGTTGCTTAGGAGGCCAAAAGAAGAGCCAAAAGGAGCTCATAAAACAAACAAACAAAAAGTCAAGAGAAAATATTTAGTAGAGTGATTTATATCATGATAAAAATGATTAGCTGTGGAAACACTCCCAATAATGATGCATGTAATACTGTGATTTAAGTGATAATAAAAGCTTATTTTTACTTATATATAAAGATATGATGTATCTAAATGACTAAAGAATTTAATTAGTGGGATAAGTCTAGCTGTGCACACAGTTTACAGTTCTAAAACACCACACGTTATTTAAGATCCATGAACTAAAAATAAAAGACCAATAATAAGTGATATTCACCCATTTTCTTATTCTAGTAGTTATGTCTATATTTACATCAGGCTAAATACTGGAATCGTCTGCTACTGTATCAGGCAAGAATCAGTCTCAGAAGCTGTTTTTCAATGGTGTTTTGCATAACAGCTCAGTAAAATGAGTTCTGTTCACCAAGCTATTCTGCTTTCAGACATAAAATTAAGCTGGAAATTTGATTCCCTTACCTTAAAGGCGTATTTGCGGTTAATATGGTCCTCGGGAGAAAGAACTGATATCTGAAAGCTAGGCAGAAGTATGCTACCTAGTATTCCTTCTTCTTTCTCATCTGTGAATGTATAGTCTTTGATTAGAGAAACGACGTGTTTTGACACGCAATACTTGCACTCAGCCCCTTCAGTGAAACTCTGAGCTTAACAACAGACGGGTACCAAGGAGTTTACCTCAGAAGAAAACGCATCACAGCATGAGAAAGCCAGACTGATTTGTTAACGTAGGAGCCTGTATAGTCTCACACGTGTGCCGTCCACCAGACCTGTGCAGTCCCTCTCTGCCCACACATGCCACAGAACCCACATTGCACACGTGTGCGCCCAAAAACCTGCTAAGCGCTGTGAAATCCGGGCTGTTTCAATATGGCCACCTCCAACTTCTTCCCAAGATATTCCCAATCCCCTCCGAGAGTGCCAGCTCTACAAGTTTAAGAATGTCAGCTACCCTGTGGAATCTGCCACCTTATGGAAAACACTCCAAATAGCTTTTCCTGGTGTTTTTCAGGGGAGTAGTGCTTACCTGCGTACGACTTCAAAGCTGAAAAATAGATAGAAATCTAACCTCTAAATCAGTGACAAGAACAATATCTGCTATCTGTTGCCTGCTCAGTAAAAATTACAAATACCTGTGCGAGCAGAGGTATTTTAAAATACTATTTATGACCGTTGGTCTTTGAGAAAATGTTCACATTCCCCTCGTGAGACTGGGCATGTTAAGCTATGACATTGTTGTATTTCCCATGAACAGTTTACACTCAATTAGATTCCATTTGTGAGAATGCATATGTTTCAGATCATTTGTAAAAAACAAGCAATAGTTCCTCAAACCAAACACCCTTTTTCAAGAACATTAGTTTTTTGAAAATTTTAGATCAATACATTACAATAATAAATTGACATTTTAATTGGAAAGAACAATCAGCTCTTAAATCCAATTATACTTTAATAAAGGAATAATTGGATGTAATTCACAAAGTCAATCTTAATTGTATTTCAGACACCGAACGTCTGTTCACAACCAGTATCTTCAGAGACTGTCCCCCATAACGCTTCTCTTAGTTTAAGATACTGCCCACAACAAAAGACTACGTATCTATGAAATGAAGATGAAAACATAGATATTCCAAAGTTTAAAGCACGGAAAATTTATACTGTTGTAATTAAAAGTACATGTAAACAGCCCAAAAGGCCTACCTCTTATATACCTGGATTTAGAAATCTTTTCCCAGTTCTTGTTTACACACTAAATTCTGAAAAGTCACAACTTTCATCTATGTTGGTCACACGGGGAAAGCTCTGCCCACCCATGTTAGCATTGCAAAATATTAGATGTAAACATTACGCTTTCTTGGTTATTAATTGGAGAACTACACATAAAATTATTCCAATTAGAATGTAGAAAAGAAATAAGGGGAATAGATTGACTTTCAGGTATTCAACTGTACTCATAAGTATGCCTGAAACCATCCCATCTCCCCCTCTGAATTATTTGGTCCTTGCCAGTCACACACACAAATCTGCCTTTTTCTTTCCCCCTGTCCCAGAATGCATGGCAAATATTTGGGTTTACTTTATCTGGACTGCTGTTTGGGGGAAAAAACTCCCTCCTTCTGCTAGATTATACTCTGATTTATGACTAAGTCACACCCATTAGTGCCACAGAAAAGCATTAAGCAATTTTGTTCCACTGAACAGCTGCATGTCTGGAGGACTTTGTTCTTTGTTAAAGACATACTGCTGCACTAAATTTCCAGATTTTAAAAATCTGTTTCCCATCAGACTAGCTTTTAACTACACATTACACTGCCCCATACCCATCTTTACTTGTATGCTGTGTATGAACAAAACAGGAGAAAAGTAGCAGATTTTCTGCCCAGCCTTAAGTTCTTTTATTTGTTGCAACAATAACCTTCCAATATCAGTCTTTTATCCCTCAGTGAAACAGAAAAAAGGACTTTTCTCCAAGCTCTGAATACAATGAAATAATTTTTCTTTTCATCTATAAATTAGACTTAAGCATTAGCTGCTACCACTGTAACACAACTGTAAAAGTTCAAAGATTTACTAACAAAACAAAGCCAAACAAAAAACTCCAACCACCAACATTCCATAACCAGAAATATTATTTGTTACTGGGAATTAAGTGCATTGCTCCCCCCCTTTCAATTTTTTCAATATCTGAGACACAATTAACAAAAACATAAAAGCACAGGGATTAGAGTGCAAATTCTTTTATATTTTAGTAGCCATTTCTAATACCTTTAAGACTACCACTGTACATGTTTGTTTACAGTTTGTCAGCTTTAACTGTTTTCTAGCAAGTGAACAACAGCTAAAAGCTTAGTTTACCATGTAAGCAAATCAGACTACTCTACTTATATTTGAGCTTGTCTGGCACACTAAGATGCAGAAATGAAAATCTAAGATTATAGAGCTGTTTGCATTTTATTTGTTGGTGGTTTCGCTTATTGCTTTTTTGTTTTGAGATGCTTCACGTGCAGTACTTTAAGTCAATTTAATCTGTTCCTAAGGCAGCACTTTCTTTAGAACCTTTGGAAGAGAGCCTGAAGACTTGTTTAAAATAAGAAAATCCTATAACAAAACACAGAGTATATAAAAAACACTTAACCAAACGCAGTTGTACCACAATTGATGCCCCCACAAATGAAATTTTAGTCTAATTTTGACTCAGTAGTGGTTTATCCAACAACGTATATTTCTTGGGGTGAAGAAACTAAGCCTAATGATTATATTTCAATAATTCGGAATTTGCTACCTAAAGCAGTTACAAAGACAACTTTTTGTGTTTCATGACCTGATTTGTCTTGATTAGACTAGAACCATGCGGCACTTTATGGAACTGCATTTTAAATTCATCAGTCACTGCTTTCAGCATCACCAGCATCAACACCACTATCCATTCCGAAGTCTCATCCTAAACAGAAACCCTTTCTTACCCTTCACAAGGCTGCAGATAGCCTTAGCTGTTAATTCTCCTCTATTCTGCCATGCTTTACAATCTTGTTTGCTCTTTGCCTCCTTTAAACCACTATGGTTGTACACCTTATTTCAGGATTAAATACATTTTCATACGCACAAATCCCATTTGTTTATCCCCTCAGGAGCACAACGGTTAATAATCTGTAATGGTGAAGGGATCGGTTTTCTAACATACATATCTCCAGACTAGAATTACAAACAGCTAATTTTTCCCATGTAAAACAAGTCTCACGTAGTTACGTAAGGGTACTAACAGGTTTCTTTGTTCCAAATACAGCAGAGACTTCTACTCACATGGAACTGGACAACTTTTCACTTTATAGGCATTCATGAACACTGATTAGATTCCCAAAAGGCATATATATCCTCTTTATCATTCCAAAGGCAGTTTCAGCTCCCCTGCACTATCCATTTCCTATCCCCTTTTCAGTTACTCCCCCTTTTCAGTTACTCCATTTGCATTAAAAAAAAAATCAGATTTAGTTAGCCTGGCATATTTGATTCCTAACAGCAGAAACAGCAAAACTACATTCCAGAATTTAATAAAAGAAGTGGCTGTGAATGAGTTTGCCCTTTGAGCATACCTGACAGGCAGGAAGCAATTATGTGAAATTGGTAATTAAGAAAGACAGGGAAAAAAACCCAAACCAAACCCAAACCAAAAAGATAAAAGTAGGAGGCCTGGATATTGACAGCTATACAACCATCCTACCCATTAGGTTAAGTAGCAGCTTCATTTTTCTTACACTGGAGTGCTGTGTCAAACTTTATCTGCTTCCAATAAAGTCAGGAAACGAAGCTTTCCTGAGTGGAACTTACCTCTGTAATAGAAGAGGCACAGATCTGAGAGCACAAACCATCGCTTCTTCCACAACTTCATTCCAGTACTATCCTGTACCAATCAAAGGGACCAAGTAGGACTGTTAATAGTAATAGCTCAAAGTAACCCGGGTACCGCGTAACTCTGGCAGTGTGCCAGTAGTCCGTTTTCTCGGCTAAGGTATTCTAAGTATCTTTGGCTTCTCAGCACGGACTTGACACTGCAAGGAAAGATCATAACCCAGGAAGCCTGAAGTTCACGTGATTCAAGAATCAATAAACTGAGAGCCCTCTGTTTCAGCATGCTAGGGACCACAGTCCGCAGCTGACTGGAAAAAGGTACACTTTTTCTTATAAAAAGGAAAAGAGAAGGAAGGGTAACACTTTGGGCATATCCTCTGAAACTCTGCTGAACTTCTACTACCACTCACGTATCTAGAAGAAATTTCTTTCCCAATAAAGTTTATTCCCAAAGCAATTTCATTTTCTTTTATGCTTGTAACCAATTTACACTGCACAACTCCAAGACTGCCCCCACTACTGCGGTGTAAATAAGCCAGAGCACTGCAGCGCACACATCCTAGTAGAACCAGATTTAATAAATATGTTAATCTGTTCCAAGAAGAAAGGTACGTGTGAATTATCAGTATCCTTGTAATAAACAGCTTTTGTGACAACCTAGAAGAGAGAAGTCAGCATAATTTTTAGCCCCGTATTTCAAGCTCTGCTCTTTTTGGGGTGGGAGAAATGAGCTGAAGGAAGGTGAATAAAGGGTAAAGCAAGCATCAGCTAGGAAACATTCACAAGAAGTTTAAAAATTCTTTAACACAAACATTTCCATAAACAGGATAACAAAACATTTTATAGCACCTTCCTTCTGAGGACCTCAAAGTGGTTTAACAAACACTAATGAAGTCTGGAAGCACTATCCACAGCAGTCGGCTCCTATTTCACAGCTGGAAAGGCAGGAACGAGGAGGGGAAACTACCTTCCTCACCTCACTGACAAGGTCACTGACTCAGTAGTGGATTAGGATGCCAGACCTCTAGCCCAAAGGACACTGGCCATAAAAATAACCATGTGATGGGAAATGCTCAAGCTTCTTCACTATAAAGGATTATCACAAACCTGCAGATAGACTGAAGAGGCTGTTACAGAATGTCACATTTAGCCCATCACTCAAAAACACCAACAGGTTTCTACGTGACCACATGTAAAAAAAGTAAATGAGATACGCTAGGAATTCCTTCTTCAGGCATCGCAGAGGCGCACACAAAATGACTGTGGTGCTCTCTTATGTCAAACTCTTTCCTAAAGTACATCCTTTTTTGTATTAGTGGATTTACTACTTATTGTTCCCTCTTGATTGAGATTATCTCATAATATGGTAATAGTATGTTCAGAGTAAACACCTTCCAAAACAACAGTTGACTCTGGACTTAAGAGTTATTAGAAAAAGTGGCAGAAGAATGGCATCACATGCAATCAAACAGCATGCTGAGTCAAACAAAACTTGCTGTCTTCTGTCATTACATAAACAAGTTAAGAAAGTTACCTTACTATCAAAAAGAAACCTGCAGAAGCCTTCACTGTAAACTTCTGAAGCTAGTATCTGTTAGTAAACCTTTTGACTAAACCGGCTTTCAGTTACCACTACACCATGGAAACATACAGCATCCCCTTTTCTTACAAAACCCAATCAAGCATCACAGCATTTAAATAATTTTACACATAAACCCTGTCCAACCATATACATCTGGACACCGAGGTGGACTGAAAACCGGTTGAAACACCAGGCCCGGGGAGTGGTGATCCGCGGCAGCAGGGACAGCCAGTTGCTAGTGGTCTACCCTGGGGCTGACACTGGCCAAGACGATGTAAGGTCTTCACTGACGACCTGCACACTGGGACAGAGTGCACCCTCAGCAAGTTTGCGGGTAATATGAACTACCGAGCAGCTGATGCCCTAGACGGCTGTGCTGTCATTCAGAGGGACCTCGACAGGCTGAGAAATTGGGCAGAGAAGAATCCCATGAGGTTCAACAAAGGGAAACTCTCAGTCCTCCCTCTGGAGAGGAACAGCCCCACGCACCAGTACACACCGGGGCTAGTCAGCTGAAAAGGAGCTCTGTGGTGAAGGACCTGGGGGGTCCTGGTGGACAGGCAGCTGGTCGTGAGCCAGCAATGCACCCTCATGGCAAAAGTGGCCAACAGCATCCTGGGCTGCATTAGCCAACCGTCATAATTCTGTGATCTTAAAATGTAGCTCCTTTTTCTTCATTAGTAAAATAATACAACTGTACACTAAGATGGATTTGGTAATATGAACAAAGAGTGTAATTCTTAGGAAAGCAACATCACTGTACTAGTTTATGTGCTTTGACTATATGGTTTGACATGAAACAAGACACAAACCAGCAAGAATCTCTACAGCACTCTAGTAAGTTAGTTGAGGTACATAACCATATCTTTTCATACAGGTAAAACTCACTACAAAGGACCTCGGAATGAAAAGCCAGATCATCACAAACCTAACTTGTTCAGAAGGAGGCAGCAAAGAGCAAACTCCTGTGTTTCTACTGGCTACTCTTACAGGGGGAGTTTTCTATACTCATGCAGGTGCCAACAAGAGATACTTGGGCACGCAACTACCTGTGCTATAATTCAGACATCATGTACCAATTAAGTTAATCGATTGCCTCATTTAATTAAAAAAATCCAGAAAACATTTCTTTAGGAATAGTGACTTTTCTTTTTTCAAGCTAAAAAGTTTAATAGCCCTAAAAACAAACAAAAAAAACCAAACCAAAGCAACCTCTCACCTTTGTGACAACTTTTTACTCTCAACACTGAGAGTAGAGACCATGAGAGTATCTAAAGATAGAAAAATCTTCTACTAAATAGATCCTTCTAGATCATTTTATCTGACAGAAATTTTTAAAAAGAACTGATTCATCAACAGCATCCGGAAAGCTACTGTGGGTCATACCAGTCTATTGGAGTAGGGACAGCAAATGACAACATAGATCCAAAACTATACACACACATTTGCCCCAGCTGAGTTTAAATGACAAGTTCTTACAGGGTTCTTGGTAGATTTATAAAACATATTCCTACTCTGGCCTGATCAGTGTCATCATTCAATTTTTTGATCAAATTACTCTGATTTCCTGCAGAGCAAGAAAGTGCGAGTGGTCTGGTACTGCAGAATCTCAAATAAATCTACAGCAGGTACAGCTGGATACACTGTCACTAAAAACTGAAGAGCACGTACCTGCGATTAGTTTACATTCAATAGGAGACTGAACCTAAAATGACCTCTGGCTGTAAGATGATCATCTTTAAGAAAACAGGCATTCCTCTCATCATATGCGACAAATTTACTTGATTTCCACAATTTGTTATTGAAAACACTTACTTAAAACCAACAACTAAGAGATGCAGCCTAACAAAAGGAACTTCAAAATTTAAAACCCCAGTATGCTGGGCCATACATCCTTGTCCCATTATCTCAGCATGTCTGAAATTGAGCTGTTTACTACCAACATCTGCTTAGATTTTTCAAGCCCTTTATAAATACACATTCTCTCTGACATATACATTCTATCTAGTCCGATGCCCTCACTCATTTTTATCAGAATGTTATCCAACAAGTATATAATTATTTAAAGTACCATGCATCAGTTGCCCACAGTTTATAGCTTCACTCTGGCATCACTATCATTGTATTTTATGCAAATTATTGTCTTTTCTACATTATAAACCTTACAAAAAAATAAGGGAGGGAGGGTGTGGTGAAAAGGGGGAAGAGTACCTGTTTGTAGAGCCAGCCACGTCTGACAACTGGTGCATTAGGATTTCTCTTTATTGAGTTTGACCTCTTTCCGAAATTATGAACCTTCTTTGAAGATCGTGATGTCTAAATTGAATTGAACAGGTTAAAGAAAACATGACATCAATATCTGATGAAAAATCATAATAAACTTTCTGTTCCTTAAGATCTTTTTCTTATGAGTGTTCCTCTGGGGGACTGCAGAATACAAACTGTATTCCTTTTTTAGATAAATAATTATTATGATGGTTCTGCTGGCTTCAGCATTTCCTTCTTTTTCCTCTTTAAAAAACCTAAAGACAAATCCCAAGTACTTTTTTTTTTAACAAGAAAAAACAACCAAATACATAGCTGACCTTCTTACAAGGTATGTAGAAAGACTATCAAGCTGTAGAAAGAGAAGTAAAATTAGCAGAACTATCATTAATTATGAAAAATGCTATCACATGGGCAAGAAAATTCTACTCTTTCCTGCTTCCAACACTGGCCTAATACATAAAGATTTGTTCCGATTTAAACAAGACATAATTCAAAGGCTTCTCACAAAGTCTCCCCATTTCCTAACACACACTAACTTCTTAAAATTCTTTCTTCCCCCCGCAATAACCCTTTGCTCTGTGATCTCTTGGCTGGTTTGAATATTCATTATTTTACCTGCTTGCACTAAAGCCTACTTTGAATCTTTTGCCCATAAACTCCAGTGCTTATATCTGCTGTTGCTTAAACCTTTTACACCCTTGCTGCTACGCAATGATTACAGATGATTAAGAGAAGTAGGAAAACCCATTTTAGATTTTATTCTTCTACTTGAGTAACCAAAAGAAATTGGAAAAGGCACAAAGAAACGTGCAGTGCTTTGCCAATTCACACTTCAGCCTACGTTTATAAAGTTTGTTCTGCAACTAAATGAGCTGAACCTTTACTTGTATTTTAAACTCTGTAAGAACTGGTGTCTGAGACCATGAGATGTGATATAGCAAAGTATCCCACTCCACAAAGGAAGTTAAGTTCAAGAAGTTCAAGTAAGTTTTTTTAAGCTGTGTTCATGGCTCTGCTCCAAATCCACCATTTGAACCAAGACAACATAATCCTGCGCTTCAGCTTCCCCATCTCTGCTACTGAGACTAATCATAAGGTTATGCAAAGTTCCTAAAGGAGGAAGGCTAAACCAACACTTGTTTTTTGTTGCAAATTAGGGTATGGGGTTTCTCTGAGGAAATTCTCTCAACACGTATCACAGAACTGAGTTGGGTTTTATACATGCTCGAGAGAATTCCACAGTAGGTTACAAATCATAAATTGAAAACTGCAATTTAAAATGATGTGCAGCTTGTGCAGTCAACAATGCCATTAACTGAAGGATAGAAAATAGCTTAGCCAAAAAAGAATAACATTACACAAAACTCTGTGTTTGTCTTAAGCCTACAGCACAATGCAACAAGTTTGTTTTGTATTTCTGTTTTGAAAGAATCAGGAGGGAATATAAAAACAATGAGTGCTTTTAATTTCCCTTGGAAATACAGAAATTTGACTCAACTCTGTTTGGAAAGCAAGATGGAGAAAGCAATTGAAAGCCTGATTAAAAATAAAAGTAAAAATCGTTCATATTTTCATGTGAAAAATTTCCAGGGCAAAATGGACTAAAGGTTTGTAAAAAGCCAACAGAGTGATGCCATGCAGCTGTTAAAAAGGAATATACAGAGAAACTGTAACAACCCAGAGCATGCTATAAAATGAACTCTACATCCGTCTCAGTTAACCTGTATGGCTACTCTAATGCCATATAACACAAGAGCTGTGCCAAGATTTTGATCAGAAGTAATTTATAACACTCAGTCCTGCTCTAATATTAGGTATTAAAGGTTCAAAACCTTTCAAGACTGTTCCAGACTTCCTATACTTGTATGACTAACACACCAGGGATTCTTCTGAAAACACAACCAACCACAAGTACTACTAATGTGAAGTCGTCTAACAGATTCAGATAAAACAGATAGGTATCTCTTAGATAGGTCTAATAACAAACCACATTGACTCCAATTTCCCAAAGTTTTAATGGATTAATAATTCGTCTTACCACCTGTGAACGCACATTTCCATTAATTAAACAGAGCATCACAAGTGCTTTCTCAGTTTAGTTAATACAGAAAACACTTTAGATGACTCGTGATTATTTTACCACACACTGCACAGAGTAACTTCACAACAAATTCTGAGTCATTAGACAATGAATATTTTAGGATATTGAAACATTGTAGGGGCATATATAACTATTTATGAGTTCTCAAATGTTTTAGATCATCTCCTCATCTTGTTATGTCTGGGATCCCTGATCATCTCACATTCTCTCACACACATCTAATATATCTCAAACTGGGGAAACAGGAAGAAAGTGAAACAAAACAAGAACTGAAGGGTTCAAATACTTTTTACCCCACAGCATTAAAAAACATAGGACATACTGTATAGCTGCAGCTTCTGGAGGTGCAAAAAGGACAGTGAATGAAGGGTCCAACTACTAAACACTTGCTGGGAGGTGTAGAAAGTAACAGAGCTAGCAAAGTTATAGTCACATCCAGTACCATCTGACCTATTCTAAGGAATGGTCCCAGCAGCTCTGATTCCTCTAAAAACAGAATCTATGGGAAGGACCCTGTACAGCTCCCGTACGGAGAAAGAAGCAGTCCAGGCA